AGGTCGTGGCAGAGATGGGCTCTCGACTCACCACTAATGACAACGACATTAAGACAATGAAAGACAAGCAAAATTCACAGCAATCGCGCAGTGATTCAATTCAGACCGATTTGGGCGCAATTCACGCCAATATCACTGAATTGTACGCAAATGTTGAGCACAATAACAGTTCCGTGGGTTTTGTGGCCAAATTAGAGCACAACTCGAATCAATTGAACCAATTGTCGGATAATATAAATAATTTGCAAATGTTTTACAAGGATTTGATTAATTGGAAGACAGAGGCGGATGAGAAGATCCGCACAGTTATGCAGTTGACTCAACACATACACGACAAATTGCATAACAACTCCCTTGAAGTCCATAATAACGGTGCAAAACATGGGTCACATAATAGCGGCGATGAATCGATGGAAATGGTGACAACTGGCGGTTCGGTTCCTGTTTTAAATGATACCCTTTCGTAACAATCTTATAGAGACTTATATCGCGATTGCGAGTAGTTTTGTGTGTTTTTGTTACTCATTTTTTAAGTTACTGTATCTATTTTTTCAGTAATAATCGCAAAACGAGTTATTATTTTGTATTTTTCTTATGATTATACTCTAATTGAGTCTTATTTTTATCAGATTATGTTTTTGCTATTCAATTGTAACACATTTTAAATTCTTTATTTTAAGCCATGTTTTTGATCCAAATTTGTTAAGCATTTTGTATGATATAGTGATCATAATAAGAGAGTTCACTCGTTCTTATCCATCACTCTATTCGCTATTATCTGTCAAATTATGTCATAATTAGATTTGTGTTGTTTTTTGACTATTTTGTTGTCAAATATACAGTACCAATGAATTGCCTATAAATCTAATTAATTGCTAGTCATAGGAATTATTGACACTTTTTATTCGCATTGCAATTATAGAGTTAATAAAAATTTTATTTGTGATATAACCGCGAACTACAGTAAAATTGTTTCTAAATATAATGTAATATAATTTTTTTATAATTTAATTAATCATTCATTATTTTCAAGAAATTAATAATAAAAATTATTATAAAAATATATGAAAAGCGTTTTGTATTATTTGCGTGAAAACTTGATTACAATTGATATGGCATCGTAAGTAGTGGAAAATTATGGCTCATGTAGTTTTGTTACGTTTAGACGTTTAATTGATATAATTTGTTAGATTGTTGTAATTATTGTAGAGATTAGGTGACGACTGATACATGTGTTTATACTCGAGTCCCAAATCATAGCCAGTGTCCGGTGGGGGCATGTATTCAGACCGCATACGGCACCCGCACTTCGTGTGGTTAGCGAATGTAATTCTGTCGATGTTTTGCATTTGTGACACTTTTCTTGGGTTTAGATGATTTGGTTTTAAGACAATTGTGTAGAAGAATAGGTCCACCGTTTTGGTCTCCAATGCCATACATGTGTGGGTGGAGTGCGGACAACAACCGGTCAGATCACTGCACCGGTGCAGTAGTGTTGCTCTCGGAAGGTATACCTGAATGGTAATTATCAGGCAACAAATTAGTGGAAAATATGTTTTTATCAAATGGAAAATTAGTCATTAAGTTCTTGTTTGTATTAAATATTTATGAATTTATTAATGTTTGATAAGAAAAAACACTACAATTAATGAATATTCAATAAACAATTTCTGTAATTGATAATATCATTGAATAATTAATTGTCAAGTATTTGCTGATAATTAGCTGAGAACTATTAGCTAGTTGTTTATCAGACAGTTGTTTTTCGTACCAAATTCATTAAATATTATCTCTATTTCGGTTCACATAAGTTGTGCAAAAAATAAACGATAATTTATATGTTGAGAATAATATTCAAATTAGAATAGCTATTCAATGCTAATAAAACCCACACTTATTTTACTATTTAAATTATTTGGGAAACTCTTTTGAAGTCTACTCTATCTTATCGATAAGGATGAGAACTACAGTGTTTTTATCAAAAAAATTTTTTTATTTTGTGCGAAAAATATCGTTGCGAAAAGATAAATTTAATTAAATTTAGAAAATATATTTAATTCTCTAGAAATTCGTACTAATTGAAAGCCTACTTCAATATTGCAAACATTATTTAGATATAAAACTAATTAATGTCTAATAAATTACATGATTATCACAGCTCTCTCTCTCTCTCTCTCTCTCTCTCTCTCTCTCGTCATAAGTCATAAAATGGTTAATAAAATGAAATAAATAGCATATATTTGATGCAAACTTTATTGGGGTCTTTGAAGTAGACGAGCTGTGGTTTGGGGACATCACAGGCGGCCAACTCATTGACTCGCATCCCGTGCTCGAAGGCCAGTCGCGCCAGACTCTCAAACCGTTGCCGCACAGCCCCCTCCACGCCATACCTCACATCAAGCAAGTGAAACACTATAATCAAGATAATCCACAAACAATACAGATCTACTTTGCATAACATTTACACGACACACACAGTATAATCACTTATATAAAAACAAAAACAAATAAAAAATTTTAAAATCACAGGTAAAAGAAAAAATCATAAAAACTTTTTTCTTATCCAACACTTTCGCAACGCAACTAATAATCACTGGCTTTTTAATAGTAATAAATGGACGGATGGAGTGTAGTTTGTATTCACGATGATGGGGATGGTATGGTCTGTGTATTAGATAGTTGTCTGACTCGTTCGCACCGGAGGTTTCTCTCTTTCTCTGGTGTCTCACATAAATAGAAAATACTCATGAATTTCATGCGAAATACTCAGAGATTTGTATCGCGAATAAAATATATTGCATTTCATTATACAGTATAATATATTCACAAAAGACTTTATGCCATAAATATCAAATGGAAAGTGTTTTTTAATTATAGCACACAATCCACACATCAATCTCCGTGAAAATCTGTGGCACCCGATGGGCCATGTATTCTGGATACAGGTTTGTGGCACTGAATATACATTTGAATATAAAAAAGTTGTTCATATACTATATATCGTGCGAACACACAAAACACACTAATTTTATTAATCCTTTTAACAAAATTAGTTTTTTTCTTACTTACGGCTGAGATTAAGACTTGGGAACGGCGTTTGATAAGGGGAAAGCCATACAACCACACTCCGCGTTAAGACAAATGGCTGGCGCTTACATCAAGATTTATGTGTAATTCAAGTTTTGAAAGTCTTTTTTATATGAGAGACTATTAATGTAAAAAAGATTATTTAAATTGAATTAATTTTATGGTTGGGTCCATTAAACTAATGCTGTATTAATCGCGAGTCAATTGAATTAAATTTATAAACACAATAAATATTGTATGGCATTAAGAAATTAATTTTTTAGGTCTCAAGTCATAATTATTTTAAAACTGCTTTATATCTATAGAAAATAAAATATTTTTCCATTAATATACCTTGGTTTGTGTTGTATTTGATTTATTTATAACTATAAATAAAATGATAAAAATGTCGATTTTTATAATATATATTTCATTTAAATTTGTTTTATTTATATGCAAATTCATAATTAGATTAATATTACAATGTGCTAAACATGCATATTAAATGGTATTTTTAGAAACATAACACTTTAGAAAAGTTTAATATCAGGTATTTAAAGACTTTAATAAACAGTTTTGTTAACAAAACATTTTTTCGTTGTTTTAGTTTTGATTTTTATAGTTTTGTTTTATAATAAATTGCAAGATTATATTAAACTCGAATTTAATGCATAATAATTATAATTTTCCAGCAACTCGTGTTAATGGTAATGGTTTATACAGTACTATTATATCATGAATAGTGTACAGAAAATATAATTTATCAAAAATGTTACAGTTCATTAACTTTTCATACACTCCATTCATAGAAATTAAAAATAAGTGAACTTTAAATTATGAAAATATCTGGATTTTGTCACAATATTTAGACAAAAACTTAAAAATCTTATAAAATTTTCCAAAATCTTTTTTATCTATAAATTATTTATAAGGGAAATAATGTTTGACACAAAAATTCCAGTAATCTCTACAACATTTGTGACTTAAAATTAATTTTTGTTGAATATTAAATAATGTACAATAAAATACTTGTGCTTATGTGAGTTAAATATAATCCCTTAAACATATTGTACTTACCATGGCCACTAGACGTCTAATATTTATCATGTAAATTTGATGGCCATTCACATGGACATTCACGCCAGGTAGAGTAGGTTTTAAGGGGCTATAACTCAACTCATATAAACATGTTCTCCACTCATAATCTGTATGAGGTTTATATGAATTTCAATGCATGTTTCAAGTCATTTATTTCCTGTGAAAAACCACTTTTAAAAAATATTTTTCTTACACACACTCTAATACATGAAATGCAATTAATTTCAATACATATCACAAAATAATATTTAAAGGTCACTGACAAGTCATCTACAGATTAACCCGTACGGCATTCATGCAATTATTCAATCAAATTTTTGTTCATAAAAACAATTTTCTGTATAAATTCTTTAAATTATTGAATGCCATGAATATATCGAGAATTTATTGACTCTATTGCTGTGGTCTCCACACAATTTCGGCATTTATTAAGTATTTTATTTTTTTGAGACAAAATGTTTTTATACAAGAAATATGTAGTTTAAACAATAAAAATGGATATAATTTATGAAATTTTTTAATTAGGTAACAAAATTGATGCCTTTTTCGGCTGTCTATATGAATATGAATTTGCTGTCAGATTGATGTCTGAAACAGCTCTCTCTCTCTCTCTCTCTCTCTCACTCACTTACTCACTCACTCACTCTCTACGATATTTATAAGTTATATATTTATAACAATTTGTGAGCAATTAGTGTGAATCAATACATTTAATAGTGAGCGCATAAAAAATATTTTTCTTACACACACACACACACACACACACACACTCACTCACTCACTCACTCTCAGTTAAAATATGAAATTAATCTAAATTTTAAAATTTTATCCAATTACCGGTAAGTATAGAATTTGTTATAAATAAAATGTAAACCCTTTCATAGATCAATGCATAACTTTATATAAGTTGCATTTGGATTACTTTTATAGACTCACATGGTGTAAAAAATGTTTAATTAATTTAAAAATTAATCCGTTTATTAATAGCATTAATTAAAAAAATATTTTCAAATTTGTTCTGCTAATTTATTAACGTCGATTTCAGTATAAATGTGTCTGGATAACTCTTTTAATATAGTTTTTCATATATATCATTTTATGTGAAATATAACCGCAAAAAAATCCAGTTCAATTTGAAATATTTGACAAGTGACAAATCATTTGTATATGATAGTAGATATAGAAAACTTATTTAAATAAAGATTAATAAAGATTATAAATAAATATATATTTTTGCAAATTACATTAAAATTATAAAATGTAAACTTAATTCTCTAATTCTAACGATAAGCTAGATTATTTTACATTTATTATTAAAAAGTATCTTTCAAAAAGATCCAGACAATGTTAATATTGTGAGTAATGTAAATGACAGTCGATAAGGTTATGACTGATTACCACAATATTATATAAGTCTGAATATATTATACTATAAACACTTAGTTATATAACTATAAACCTAAGGTCAAAGTCTTTCATATTATTAATTATTTGAAAGCCACAATGTCATATAATTAAGTGAACTTTCTTTTTATAGGTTTTACACAATTAGCACTTAATCGTTGTCTATAAGACCCCCTTTGGTTTTGATTTGTAAAATATTATGGGATATTTTCAATTAATAACAAGTTTATTTAGAAATCATGACAAACAATATAACAAATTGTCTAAAAATTATAATTAACATCCATTTGGAAGCAGAGTTATGTTATATATCATCATTCAATCATTTCAATCAAATACTTCAGAAAACTATTTTTCATAAAAAAAATAAGAAAAATCAATTAAAACTAGAATTGAATTTAAATTATTTGGAAATATCCTTTTAATAGAAACGTATGTTACATCCCAGCCCTCACTTGTGAACATCAATTAGTAAAAGCTTAAATAAAATTCATTTATCTCTTGACGTGTCCGTCCAACCCTTTCCCACCTACACGTGCGCTCACTATTAAATGTATTGATTCACACTAATTGCTCACAAATTGTTATAAATATATAACTTATAAATATCGTAGAGAGTGAGTGAGTGAGTAAGTGAGTGAGAGAGAGAGAGAGAGAGAGAGAATTTTTGAAAAATATTTGATCAGCACAATTATATTGTGAAAACATTTAGGAAAATATTTCACAATATTTTATTATTTTAAAGAATATATTATAGTAAATAGTTTATGATGAAAGTTTTATGTCATTAATTTGTGATCTAAATTAACTCATAAACGTATCAAATGTCTGACGTATTAGAAAATTAACATAAAATTTGTATATATCTTGATAATTATTAACATTAATAGACAAAATCGTTATATAAATCAAATAATTTTCTCACAGCTTATCAAATTTGAATATAATTTAAATAAACCACATTAGATCTGGCTAATTTTGTGAGAAAAATCTATCAAATATATAGTATAATTTGAGTATTAATTGAATTAAAAAATAATAAAATAAGCAATTTTATCAAAAATTAAATTAACATTTTCACATTCAACTAATAAATTATAATAAATTATATATTCGCTTTATTTAAATGTGATAACCAAGCTATTAAATTAAATTAAATTATCAAACAAAGTTAGCCGCATATTCTATAAATATAAGCAATGTCATTTTGACCATTGTCTAAGTGCTTATTTAAGTGCAAATTTCCATTTAAAAGTGTAAACATGTTGTTTAAAAACTTTGAACTCAAAATTGGCATGTCTACTTTTAATAGATATCAAGTTCATAAAGAGAAAATATTTTCGGTTTAGTTAATGACAACTATTTTTAGGGTATGTTTTAGAGTATGTGAACGCCTAATGAAATGCATTAAATAATATTCTCATAATTCAATAGTCCTTATCATTGATTTAAATCAAAACACAACACAAACACAACAAAAAAGTTATGCATAGAAATAGAGAAACATTTAATCACAAAAACAGGTATATTGTAAATAGCCTGGCAATTCAGTAGACATGTATATAATGGTAGTGTTATAGAGAAAAGTATGGTTATAGAGATCGTAATCTCTCGCATCCAATACTCAAAATACTTTATAATTCGTGTCTTTAAAATACTTTCTCATGAAATGAGAAATGAGTGGAAGATTATTGTGTGGATGTATTAAATGGCAGTGAAAACAGTTGGCAATTGGCTTAATAGTGGGGACACATTAGAAAGCAATGAGATTCTTGCGCTCAACAGCCAGTCCTTAGCTATCATTTATTATTAAGCGAAACATGTTTTACTTTAAACATAATTGATTAACAAGATAATCTCTCTCTCTCTCTCTCTCTCTCTCTCTCGTGCACTCCATTCCTAGAAATACATTATAAGAAATTATTCCTAAATAATACACTTATGAATAATATTGACTTTTCCAGCCTTATTAAAGACATAAATTATTATATTTAATTTTTCAATTCAATATATTACCACATAAGATATATAACCCTCGTTGAACTACTTTAAATTCAATGACAATTTGTTTAGTACTGAAAGTGCTGTCATGTCATAGATTTCATGATATACTCAAAGATATATTAAAGTCTTAAATAAAATATTTTGTATATAATGGTTTTAACCAAACAAGAATTCGTATCAATTTGTCACTGAATATAAAAAGTCTTTTAAAGTTATGATTTTAATCAAAAATAAATTTTTAACAAATAGATTACACGACAAAAGTGCACTGTTTTTAATAAAAAAAAAGTCCCTTTAAAATATTTTACAAAAAAGTAAAAGTATTTTACAAACAAATTCTTATGAATTCCTTTAATACTCGACAGTAAAAACATACTTTGAATACAGAATTCTCTGTCCTTTGAATGGCGAGTGATTTATATATAGTTTTAATGCAAAGGAATTACACAAAACCCTCAAATGAAATGAAATGAAATAAATACTTTTAATTTCAGACAAACTTATATCAAAAGCCAAAAGAGTTTGTTATAAATTAGCTCAAAGGGAAAGGCAAGGGTTGGCCGACTTTGAGCGTAAAATTGGATTATATATACGCTTAAGGTATTCATGAACAGCAAATATAAAAACTTGAAAACAATTTTTTGTTACTGACTACAGCCGTGAATACAATTAGGGGATTGGGAGGCTAAACATATACCTAGAAATCCTATTGATCGCTCATTAAATATAATTTTGAGTCCCATTTAATGATAACCACAGATAAGTGTTTGCGAAATCATATAAAAACAAAAAATCAAATTAAAGTGTAGTATAAGAATCGGTTGTTGTTTTCAAATGCTTAATGAGAATTGGAGAGAGAAAAGGGACTCATTTTCGTTAATATTAATCGTTTTGTATAATATGTATTCTGTATATTATATGATATGAGGTGACTGTGCAAAAGTGCACCGGACTATCAATCGTATAAATAAGTAGTGAGAGTAACCAGTCAAACTACATTCTTATATAAAACTAATATCTTTTATGTATGTATCGAAAACGTAAGAATAATATATGATATATATATATATACACTATATATATCTATAATGAAATTAGTTTAAAAATATTATTCTGTATTTGAAAAGCGAAAGCTTCAGACATAAGAAAGTAATGATGAGTAAAGATAAAGAATAATAAGAAAAATCAAAAACTTATTTAACAAATAAGGTATTAGTTGTGCTCCGGGTTTTTACCTCACTGTACCACCACTACCACCACCACAAGTGCTCGGATCACTACAACTCCCTTTCCATCCCAAACCTCATCTACAAAAAATAAAACACACAAATCAAAGGACAGTCCGACGACTCGTCTCGATATATACAGTATTCACGAGTAAGTCGAGTGTCAGGAGAGAGTGAAAAGGAGAGAGAAGTCTTGCCGTGAGAGAGACTGTCCTATCGTGTGGTATATACAGCCGGGAGAGACAGAAAACTTTATATATTTTTGTTGGTTTTTTATTTAAGAGGAAATTCTGAAGTGAACCGTAAAAGAGATATTTTTACATATTTTTGGACGACTCATAACTCGCAGGACTCGCGCCACTCATCAGTAATTAATCTGATTATTATCGACAACTCCTGAGAAACAGTTCCCAACGAAATATACGATAAAACGCTAATAAGAAGTTTAATATTCATTTGATTACAAAAAACAAATAATCAAATATTTTATTGCCCTTTTTGTTTGTTTATTCATTTTTAATGTTGTATTTGTGTTAAATTCCTATTTGTTTTGACTATTTTTAAATAAATAATAATAATTATTATGATGATGTCTATAATAACGATGAATATAATAATCAAGAATTCAATATTAATATTCATATGTCTATATGTATTGATGACAAAAGTAGTGGACAGTCGTCGTACGGTTGAATCCCTGGCCAGAATGGCTTTTGAGCATGGTGCACGAGTTAATGAGCTGGCTAATTGTTATGAGCCCAAACCACAGTTGGTTTACTTTAATGAGCCCACAAAGGTTTGTATTATTTTTGTTACTTGATATTTTTATTGTTTTATGTTACATGATCATGTTTTGGACATAATCATGGATATCCAGGTTATGTCACGTGTACTATACCATCATTTCATATTATTATACTGATAACTTAGCTAATTCAAGATGGCGTATTATCGAAACAATACATAGAAAATTATGTTAGAATCATATTATATAACTTCATAGATTTATACAATACGGGTACATTACGGTATATACTATTTATAATTGGTGTTTACGTTTTATGAATCATATTCATTAAATTTGAGATACTATTTGTGTGGGTGTTTTCATTCAATTATTTAAAATCGTTTCAAATTATTTAATCTCAAAAGTTTGGTAGTGGGATTGCACTTAAATATTATGAAATGTGATATTATCAATAATTTAGTTCTTATAAACAATCTTCAGTTATAATAATTTTAATAGATAACAAAATTATAAATAATTTTCAATTTCATCAGTAAGTGCACCATAATTGTATAATTTATAAACTTTGCTAAAACATCTACAATTAATACTACAGAATGCACAGACAACTAATTATACATACTTTAATTAAATGATTATCTTAAGGTTGGAAGTAATTAAAAAATGTATACTCATAAACACTATAAGTTATAGCTATTATCGTACAAAATCTGATATCAAGCAACTCTTTGTATGAAATATTCAATTAACCCAAGTGTCGGCACATTTAGGTATCAACACATCAGTAGTACTTCAGTACTCAATGTATATGTCATCGCCACTGAATGTCTTATTATGTTTCATAAGTATTAGGAAAAAACTCTTTAAAAATCATATAAAAACTAAATTTTTTAATTTCTGATTAATTAATTATATAAAGAATTAATTTAAGAAAATTTTATAAGTATTTGTGCAGTGGTTATATAATTGAGCCTAACTATTGTGATAAAGTGGTTAGAGGGTGATAGAAATAATTTAATACTTAGTGAGATAATAATTATTTATTTTACTTTTTCTGATAGTCGAAGAGTATCCGATATTAATGGGATTTAAACTGATTATAAAATTTCAAACGAGTTAAAAAAATGTATTTAAAATTTCAATTTTTATGATTTCTAATGCATATTATATATGTGGAAATACCACTCATGAAAAATTAATTAATGGATAGACACTTGGTTTTATATTTTATAAACTGGCTATGGTTATATTAAAATTCTCAAAAAATAGTATATTAATATACGTAGAGAAGTACGGTATACTATTTGTGAATTTCAAATAAAATAATAAAACAATAATGTTTCTAATGTTTGACTGTAGTAAAAGGTTTCTATGAAAGGGTTGAATAAAATAATTATTAGAAATCAGAATAATTTGTGCATAATTTATATGTAGTTTAATAAGCAATACGATAAAAGATATATAATATGCAAATATATTTGTATATATATAACTCCAAATCACGAGTGGTTATAAATATTAATGTGAGGGAATATTCTGGCACATAATATTATACTCCTATATATTATATTGAATATTATATTAGTATATTCAATATTATTATTGACTCTCAATTAAGGGACACTTAATACTAATGAATAATTTTGCAAATTTAAAATTCAATCATTTGTTTCTTTTGAAAACATTATTAAGTAATTTAAACACTATATTTGAAATACTTGAAACCTTTTGTGAAATATAATAATATAATTAAATATTAAATATAATTATATATCTGTAAAGTATTTGTGATTGGAAATTCATTGGATGCAAAATTGCTGCATAATATCAATAATAATAATTTAAATTAGACTTCATTGACGTAATAATGAATTGCTTTTCTTAGAATATGTATAATGATTATCATTGATATTCTGATCAATTGATCGGAAAATAATTATATTATTTTAATTATGTTCAAATGATTGGAAAATTTATATTTTTAATGATTTATCGTGTAGTAAGTCTCTCTGAGTTGGGAAACATTTATATTGATAGTTATTATTAGAGTCATATATTTAAAGACTATTTTAAAGAATTCATTTTCATAAACTATTTAATGAATTCATGACTTTTAATATTCATAATATTGGGTAACTATGCGACAGGTCAATAGTACATCACATATAAGTCTTATGTGTGAATAAATGAGTGAATATTTTCTTTTTCAAAAGCAATTTATTTCTTATATTTGCGTTTGTTTTAGACTTTTCTTCAAAGTTCATACCATTTACAGCATTAATGATATTTGAATTGTTATTATAAGTTATATGTATTATTTCAAGTCACTTAATGATATATATAATTATGAAATAAAAAGATATGTTTCTATATTATTTCGTACAATAATGTAATTATAGTTTATTTTTATAATTATAGGAATAATATAATAGACTACTTGTACTCGTATTGCGAAAGGTTTCTACTTAAAGATGTCTCACAAAGTCTTACAGAAATGTATNAGGACAGTCCGACGACTCGTCTCGATATATACAGTATTCACGAGTAAGTCGAGTGTCAGGAGAGAGTGAAAAGGAGAGAGAAGTCTTGCCGTGAGAGAGACTGTCCTGTCGTGTGGTATATACAGCCGGGAGAGACAGAAAACTTTTGATATTTTTGTTGGTTTTTTATTTAAGAGGAAATTCTGAAGTGAACCGTAAAAGAGATATTTTACATATTTTTGGGACTCATAACTCGCAGGACTCGCGCCACTCATCAGTAATTAATCTGATTATTATCGACAACTCCTGAGAAACAGTTCCCAACGAAATATACGATAAAACGCTAATAAGAAGTTTAATATTCATTTGATTACAAAAAACAAATCAAATATTTTATTGCCTTTTTGTTTGTTTATTGATTTTTAATGTTGTATTTGTGTTGAATTCCTATTTGTTTTGACTATTTTTAAATAAATAATAATTATTATTATGATGTCTATAATAACGATGAATATAATAATCAAGAATTCAATATTAATATTCATATGTCTATATGTATTGATGACAAAAGTAGTGGACAGTCGTCGTACGGTGGAATCCCTGGCCAGAATGGCATTTGAGCATGGTGCACGAGTTAATGAGCTGGCTAATTGCTATGAACCAAAACCACAGTTGGTTTACTTTAATGAACCCACAAAGGTTTGTATTATTTTTGTTACTTGATATTTTTATTGTTTTATGTTACATGATCATGTTCACCTGTATTAGTACCTATAGGTCCAATACAGTGCACATGATATGGTAGTAAAGTATAATAATATGACTATTGAATCGATTAAGTTCTACCGCATAATAGCTTTGTTATGTATCTTTTAATACAATCT